TGTAAGAGGAAACATGGACTAGAAGCTGCGGCTTTCTGGTGGGCCCATTTTGACCCACAGCCAAATGGATTTTGCACCACCCAAGGAGGCCATGGTTGAAGCCATAACGCGTATTACGGTATTTACAGGAGAATCATCAGGACACAGGGTTTTTGAAAGGTGGTGCGACATGGATTTCGTCCGTCCACTGTAGTTTCCCCCACTTGTGGCTTAAAGTACCCCATGGCTCAGGGAGAGCACGCATTTCAATCGTACGCCAACCATCAAGGTCATTAGCCGCATCAGCTCGTCGGGCGCGGACCAAATGCAACAATCCCAAGAAGAGATCTCCGGGAGGACACAGGGCTCAGCGATGCTATCCAGCGTGTCCCCAAACGCCTGAAGGCAGGGCTCATGGGGGCGGAGGGTGCTGGTGCACCCGAAAAACCCGCTCCCACTCCGAAGTCGCGAAGGCCAAGGCATCACCCGGGTGAAAGATGGGTGCTCCAGAGGCATCCTGGGCGATGTTCGGCTTGGGGACCGCGGCAGCATTCTTAAGGTATCGACAGGTCAACCGACCTTGCCCCTTAACGACCTCACAGACTTTAGCCCGCGCCTGGGCCGCCTGTTACTTATCGGCCACAAGTTGCACAGAGGCGTCTTCAAGCCAGAGCCCCACTTCAAAAGGTTGGTGCCTTTTTTGCGACCAATTTCTGGGGTTTTGGTACACTTTGTGGGTTTTAAAGGAAGGCCAAAGAGCACATTTTTGAGGCGCAAACCTTCCAGAAGTCCGGATCCCATGAAGGGTCCTCCGCTGCTTAGCGATGCTTGGGGTAAAACGACACGAAGGGGCAACCATGTTCTCACTAGTCATGGAGAACATAAACTGCTAATGACTACAAGCAAGTAGGGCAAAAATCCATTCGGTTTGGGGAATGGCAAATATAACAGGGTGGGGATATATTTTTGGTTCTTTCGGATTTGTTGGGTTTTTTTTTCGTGTTTCATCCGGGCCAGTAAAATGTCGTAGTTGACAGCATTTTCTCGCGAAATTGGCGCATTTTACACTAGCCCGTCAACATCCCCGGCATCGTTTTCAACATCCCCGCATGTCCGACCAACATCCCTAGCATCACCAACAACTCGTGGGTAACAAAATCAAAAATGATGATTCAAATATGTAAGAAATCTAAAAAGTAGGGGGGGGGGGGCAGCCCCCATGATGTTCGCAGAAGTGATGATTCGAATAGGGGGCGGCAGCCCCCCATGATGTTCGAAGAATTGACGATTCAACTAGGGGTGCAGTCAAATCTCTGTAGAAAATCTAAAACGTAGCAGCCCCCCCATGATGTCGGAAGAAGTGATGATTCAAGTAGGGGTGCAATGATTCAAGAAAGGGTGCGATAGAATTTAAAAGGCAGCGGGAGGGTTGGCGGGGGCGGCTTCCCCTATGATGTGCGAAGAAGTGCATACATACAGACATACATGGATTGCAGATTACCTAAAACGTCGTATTTTGCCGCATTTTCTCGCGAAATTTGACGCTCGAAAAAGTGAAGATTCAAATAGGCGTGCAACTCAATCTCTGCAAGAAATCTAAAAAATAGCGGGGGGGTTGGGGGGGGGGCGGCAGCCCCCATGATGTTTGAAGAGGTGTTGGTCCAAATAGGGTTGCAATTACTCTGCAAACAACCAAAACAGTAGCGGGTGGGTTGGGGGGGTTTCTCCCCCCAATGATGTTCGAAGAAGTAATGATTCAAATAGGGAAGACCTGGTGATGCTGATGATGCGGGAGGCCAAATCCAAAAACCGATGAAAGGGTGCAAAAGCAAAAAGCCCAGAGAGGAACTGTGAAAGCAGAGGATGCGAAAAGCCAAAGCCCCCAAAAGCCGCACAAACCAGCGAAAACCCGCAAAAGCCAAAACGCCACCTGCCGAAGAGGAGCTGGGAATGCAGAGGATGCGAAAGCCAACGCCAAAAAGCCCCCAAAAGCCGCATAAACCAAAAGCCAAAAACGCCCAGAAGCCGAGAAGCCAAAAAACCAAGAAGCCAAGAAGCCGAAAAGCCAAGAAGCCAAAAAAAGAACGAAAAACAACTAAAATAAATACCCCTCCAATATATAGAATTCCCCGTGGATTTCTTCTTTCAACATCAAACTTTATGGCCAGTGTAGGTTTTAACCAAGAAATGGAACGAGAGCATGGTTTTGCAGCGGACCTGTGGGTCGCTTTCTGAGATGTCGTGGCATATGGAAAGATTGATCAACACCGCTGCGTTTCCCTTCTGCAAACTTGGGGAACCACTAAACGGCTTATGTGACGAACCGCTTCCCCAATTGGCCCTTGGTCGAAACTTTTCGATGCGAATATGAGTGATTATGATTGATGGTGGGATCTCCATGGTGGCAACTTAATGCCCCTTTCTGTCATAACCCTGGCTGACAAAAAGAAAACAGTGGCTTCAGCTGTTTAAGCCTCTTGCAACACAGGCCCAATCACATTGCAACATGGCTGCTTGATTCCCATCCACACACACTTTATCATTCTAAACGAGGCAAAGTTCCCAAGCTTCCACAACCTCGACCAACGTGATTTTTTGTCTCTCCTCTGCTATTGCAAGGTGAAAAAGCTCCATTGCTCCTTTACATCCTTTGGCGCAATTCGGCGAGCGCTTGTGGTCTGGACACTTAGCAAAGTCTCCTTGCGCTTTCGGACGCGCAAGCAAGCTGGAAGAAGTGCGCAATGCACGGTCTCCGTCGTTGCGAAGGTGCTTCTACTGTGCCTCCTAGAGCCCAAGCCGCCCACACATCTTATGTTCAATAGTCTCTGCTGCTGCTCGCGGCTTCCAGGTACCCGTTTTGGATATTAGATCCATTTTGTGAGCAAAAGGGAAATCCGTTTTGCGAGCAATGGTAAAGCCATTTGGTAAGCCAAGCTAGGTAATCCAGTAGAGGGGTTAGAATAAGGGTACCCGATTCTTTTTTCTGTAGTCTATTTTAGTAGGGGAACCCTCCCCCAAAAAAGAAACGGTGAGAAAGGGCACTACTGGGGGACCTAGCAAGGCAACTCCACCATGCGAGTTTTCCTGAGCTGGATCCGACGTTCAAACCCGAAAAAATCCGCTCCCCTGCCCCTGGCATCCCGGCCACGGCCGCGAGCACCAGGCCGCTCCCGGCAATGGCCGCGGAAGAGCCCCCGGAAGAGCCTCGGACGTGTTCCCTCAGATGCCCAGTGGATTTCCATGGGAACCAAAGGGCCGTCCTTTTTGGCTGGTTGAGCTTGAGGGGAACAAAAAACCGCCCGAAAAAGACAGGAAAAAGGGGGAAGCCTTGCCAAAAAAAAGAAAAAAACACTGGGCAACTGGGGTCGTTGCCAGTGGTTCGACCCATAAGATGTGAATTCCACGAAATGGGAGATAGTCTGGACCTGGGTGTTTTTTCCAAATGGGGCTAGCGGGCTACTTAGGTTACTAACCACTTACTTGGCGAATCGAACACCCAAGTAGCAAGTGTCCTTTTGGTTTTGACTTGTTCCTTTGGCAAGTACATTGGGCCTGGTGGAAACACGGGGCCTGTTTTGGGGTTTGGGCGCAAGGAAGCGTCCAGCAGAATTGCCAGTTGTGAGGTTCCCTCATTGAGACACACACCAAAACTCCCACAATCTGCCGCGCAAGTATGGATCAGGATGGGTCGAAAATAGGTAACCAAAATGGAACCCTGGGAAATGGAACCACGGCCCAGTGGTTCCAACTTTGACTCATGCCCACGTGTCTTCTTCTCAAGTTTTTGTTCGAACTAGGACGCCTAGACCCCCCCCCCAAAAAAAAAGGGGCACTCGGGCCTTCCGCGCGTCCGCGGAGAGAGCTCTGACGCAGCTCCTAGGTCAAGGATTGCGGGCGTGTCCCTTTTCAGGGCCCGGGTGTCCACACACACACACATGCCTATAAGTTTGTGCATGCTTATGTATCGGTGAAATAAGTAACCCTATTCGCCAGCCAAGCTATGATCGTCTGTTATCACATGGATCGTTCCAAACCCTAGCCCCAGCCAGACTCAACCCCAATGCAATTCAGTCCAGCCCAAGCCAGCCAAGATCACCGCTGCTCAATGGAAGATTGAAGTTCATGTGGCGCTGGGATTTCTTACAGCTTGAGTCTTTGTTGTGACGGTTACTTTACATGTTCGTGTGTTTAGCGATGATGTATCGATGTCGCGACACATGCCAGGGGCGTGGCGCCGAACTGCAGTTGTGCGTTGTTCCAGTTTCACATTCCTTTAGGTCAAGGAAAGTTATTGCATGTTATTGCCTACCGACTTCCCGAATCGAGCAGTCTGGATTGTTTGTCGCTACTTTTTAGGTCATTTCTTTCGGGCCGATTTGTCACAGATGTCATGGCCAAAGACCGTCGCAGCTGTCGCGGTCAGGGAGGACTTGCCGGAGGCGGCGAACACTCCCGGCCCGACGGGTGGGCAACAACACTTCTCCAGTGCCAGCGGGGAAGCACAAACCCATTCAAAACGGCAAACTGGGAAATGCCGCAAACACACAACGGCAGTCTGGCGCTTGGGTTGGGAGCATTCCCCGATAACCCATGTTAATCAAGCTAAGAATTGTGTTACGCCAAACTTGAAGGTTTTTCAGAGACACCCCAACGAGCAGTGGGGGCTAAGCCACCCCCCCTCCTGCGCAGGAGCGGTGGGGGTGCCAGTCACCGCGAAGCAGGCCGCGCCGGCCTTCAGTCGGAAGTTTGGCGAAACGAAATGCGAGGCGAGCGATGGGAAGCCTCCATTGGTGTCTTTTAAGGGTACCCTTTTCTGGGCTGCCCTCAGATCCCCCGCTAAAAGTTTGATTTTTAGTGGGTCAAATGGAAACTACCACTGAACACTAAAAGGCGAAAAAGCTAAGGGGATGGCTGGGAGCCACCAAGTTTTGGGGTTGCTATGGTTGCTTTAAAAGGGCAAAGATGTTGAGAGACATCCATTTTCCTCCTTCGCGATGCGTTGGTGAGTGAGTAGATGGTCAGCCCCTGCTCGTTCGCGATCTGTCCCTTAAAGCCAGCCAGCAAAACACCCTCTACTCCAAGATCCTTTTATTTCAAAGGTTCTCGGAAATAACCGGGCATTTGGGGAAACTCGCTTTATTTGGTTCTGTTTTTCTTTGAACAAAAACACGTTTTGTAGGGGGGGTTGTACGGGCTTTGTATGGGTTTGATATGGGTGTTGAACACTAAAACCAGGTTATTGGTTCGAAAACCGTGTTTTTGGTAGGCAACAGGTTCAAAACCAGGTGTTCATTTGCACCCCTGATGTTTAAAGGCTCTTGAAGCAGAGAGCAGTTCTTAGCTTCAGAAGTGTGAACTCACATTGTCAAACGCTTGAGCTGGTCAACGGGTGGAACAGCTCAACATGATACACCAAACCGAACCAGCACCTTCGGCTTCCGAAGCCTGTCCCGTTCATTCTCCGACACGAGTTGGCATCATCCCCCCGCAAAAATTGGCTCCGTCCCTTGAGCTGGGTCAACATGTGCCGCTGTTGTTGTGAAGCCCCTTTTTCACTTCCTGAGGCCGCCACATTTAGTTGGGGCTGTCTCAAACTAGGGGAGCCGTACAAAAGTGCGGGGCTTCCCGTCTGACTTCCCTTTCTGACCACCTGCAAAGCAAAAACACCCCCAACCCTGACCCCATGTTCTCCACGTAGCGCAAAAACACCCTGAAAGTCGGTGTTTGCCTGTGCAATGGAGCGAATATGAGCGAATAGCTCCAGGGCACATCACATGCAAGACCTCATCCCACCCCTGCGAAAAATATGAGACGAGGAAAACAACTTCTTTCAGGAGCCCAAAACAATCCTGAAGACGGGTCTCGAGCGCCGCACCGCGGCTCCGGCGAGCAAAACCCCGGAGCCTGGCAGCGCCCAAAAAGTGGGGGGCGGGGCTGGGTCGAAAGGACACCAGGCTGTTGGAGGGGGGGGGGGTGGGGGTGGGGGGGGCAGGGGGGCGGTTGGAGGGGACGGGGGGGAGCCTGTTGGGCTGGTGGGGACTGCCCTGTGTGTTTTTTGGAGCCCCCTGGTGTTTGAACTTGGCGGAACCCGAGGGAAAGTTGTTTACAGCATAACGTGAGCTGAACCACAGAACCCTTGCCTTAACAGCAAAGAAAGAAAACCAGGGCATCCCTCTACCGAATTCCCCTGCTGAAATCGTGAGTCCAGTCCTGTGGAACAGGCCGGAAAAAGAATCACCCGCAAAAATGTCCTCATTCACGCAATGTGAGGAGCCAAGCAGCTAAACAATTACTATTAAGCTAATATGATTCTCTGGTTTCATATGCCAAATCCGCAGTTGCTGTAAGCGTTCCAGCAACTGGGTCCAAAGTGACATCCTCAAGATTACATTCCAAATGATGTTGTTTTAGGGAAGCCGTGTTGCCCAAAGTAATTTTGGGAACCGGGTTCCTGAAATGATACATCCCAAAACCACAATAAACAGGGATCCTCGAAGCCAGCTGGTGATTGCTCAACTGCCCCAAATGAGTCCTTTTTATCCCACTCTTTGTTGGGTAGCGGATGTGTCTTTCTTGGGACCCCCCAATCAACTTTATGGTTTTCCTTGTGGTTGTCCTTGAAAACCCACCCAAAAGAGAGAGAGAGAGAGAGAGAGAGAGAGAGAGAGAGAGAGAGAGGTACCGCCCAAAAAAGGTGGACACGGAGCAGGACGTTCACTTTGTTCCCCGGGGATCCCCCCTTCCAAAAAACAAAACTGGGAGACGCCGAGAAACCGGGCACCGCCGACTGGGGATGGATTCACCTCTCAAGATCTGCGGACCCGAAGGCTTGCCGCCGAGCCGCGAGTGGAGCGGACCATTGTGCCCCTTGGCCTCAGCCCGGAGAAGTTGCGTTGCCTCGCGAACCTTTCTCCGTTGGGTCAAAGTCGTAACATCCAAGCCAAATGCACAGCCCAGGGGGTTGGGGGATTGAACCCCTTGAAAAAACAGCTTGACACCTGCTCTCCAAAAAGCACCGGCCGCTTTTTCTCCCACCCGGGAATTCTTGAAAAATGCTTTCCCTTTTGCTTTCCCTTTGAAACCGCCAAAAAAGGGTACTCACTAAAACCAAAAACGACCGACCCCTATTCCCCCCTTCAAATAAGACATTATTAACAAAAAACAACTTAAGTCTGGTAACTCAAAGAAAGCCCTTTCATGGGATGCAAAAAACCCATGAAGCCGGAGGACACCATTGACAGAAGGACGCTGCGCATTGATTGTGAACCCAAACAGTTCTGGCTTCTGCAGGTGGGCAAACAACCCAAAAAACATGGAACCCAAGCAATCATGTCGGGCCCGACACCAGCCCCCTTCCCAATTTTGCTTCAAGTCTAAGAGTCCCCCTTGCCTACCCTGCGGATGTTCAAAGGGAATCCAAAAGGAAACCACCATGTTGGATACCCCCGACTCACTCAAGGTGAAACAATGACGTGCCGAGCTGACCTGGTCAGCTCGCAACTCGTGAAGCAGGCTAAGACTCCTATAAATTGGCCCCTGAAAAAAAGGGCGCAAAAGGACCCAATGCCGTTTTCTACTGGGGCTGGGAAGGGGTGGAAAGGGGATCATTGTTTTGTACTTGGCCGAGGGAGGTTTCACAGGCTTCGCAAAAGTGTCAAACGCTGATTTCCCCCATAACCATCCGATGCTGACTGCAACGTTGGTCCAAGAAAAGCTTCGGTCTCTGAGTGCAGCCGCTTTTGGATCAGGATTGCATGTGTGTGTGTGTGTGGTCGGGAAGCGTAAAGGGCCTCCCTCGTTCCTTGGTGTGCTACTGTTGCTTCAGTATCTTAGCCAACCAAGGTGTCGCTAGTGCTCTATTCTAGGGTATGTCAGGCCCTGCCTAAATGGAAGACTTGCCTTGAACAACCTGGCTGACCTGAAAATGCCCAAGGCGAGCACCTAGGGGATCTGTATCTTTGTATCTCCGAGAATCACAGGCCCGCTTTCCTTCCCCCTTGTGTCTCAAAACTGTGAGCCCATGATCTGAGTACCTACTGGCGCCTATTGCCCTTTCTCCTGTATTGCCATTGGACATCTCATCAGAAGTGAAACGGTTGTCAATCCGATCTGGGCAAATGATCAAAACATCCTAAGGGCCCAGTAACTTTAGTACCTTCAACAGAGTTCTAGGGGTACCTTCCCCATTCTTTCCGGGGATCCTTCTTTTCAGGAAAGCATCAAAAACCCAGGGAAACAGATCCGGCTTTGGAAAAGAACGATGGTTGAAAAGAATGGAATCGGAATCAACCCCTAGAAGAGTGAGCTCGTGTTGCCCCATCTGCCAGAGCAGATTGTCGTACTTTGCCCAGATGGATCGGATCACGCCGCAAATGCCTTCGAGCGCGCCGCCTCGAAATGCCAACGCAAGGCGGCCGGCATGGTCACGTGCGGTCATCTTCTCACGAGAAGTGCAAAGACAAAACGGGACATCACGAGCCACGAGGAGATCTGTTTCTCCGAGACTCGCGCGACCCGTGCCAAAACCATTGGACATCTCATCCGATTTGAACCGGTTGCCAATTAGATCTGGGCAAATCATTACAAAGATCCCAAACTGGAAACAAAAGCCCAGTAGGTTTAGTGCCCCCAAATCTGCAAGAGCGTTTGCTAATCTGGCCGGCTGGATCAATTTGCCCTCTGATCTGAGAAAAGGAACTGATCACGACGCAATTGCATTCGAGCGCGCCGCCTCGAAATGCCAACGCTTGGTGGGCATGGTCACGTGCGGTCATCTTCTCACGAGTGGAAATGCAACTACAAAGTGTGACATCACCCTTTGGAATTTCCAACTTTGCCAAAATGTCTCTTGTCGCAAGTTCACGACCGCGACGAAGCTGTCTGCGCCGTGTTTAAAACACCTTGGGTTCCCGAACTTGCTTGAAATGTCAGCGCCCCGGGGTGGAAAGTGTCCCCTGTGAATGATACCAATTTATCTTAGCAAAGTGTGCTTTTGTTGGTTCGGTCCTGCGAATGGATATTAAACTCATTAAGCATGGCGTTTTGTCCGCAAAGCTGGAGCTAAAGCGAATCCAGTGAGACACTGGTTGATTTGTCATCCATGTCACAGGGTCTTTTTGCATTTCCGTTTTGAGCTTCGAACGCCCAAGACAGACATGCGAAGATCCCCGAGTCACCTTCGGATGTATGGAGGGGCAGGTCTGACTTGCCAGTTGATTATGTTCACAGTGTTCAAGCTGGTTGAAAAATCCAGATTGCCTCATCTGATTCAGGCGAAGTCCATACTGAGCCGGCCAACACAAAATCAGGTGGCAGCAATGCTTCCAGCCACGCTCTTCACGTGCGCGCCCAAAACTGGCTCTTGCTCTAAAGAACAAGGGCAGTTGGTGAGTCCTGGATTTTGTGGACTTGCCCCCACGTTGGTTTGCCTTGCAAACCAAGTGTGTTGACCGATCAACGCTTCCACAAAGAGCACGCAACAAATGCGGACTTAAACAGAGCTCCCCTCCCCTTTGAACATCACACATTTAGAGTAACCTAAAATTGCCAAACAAGTGATGATTGAAACAACCCGTTTAAGGGGAAATATAGGGGCGTCTCTGACTTTTCACAGCCGAACCACCAAGAGTCCAGGGATGTCGTGGAAGCGGATGGTGACGACGCCTGCGCATGCCAGCTTGACCAACTCCCTGTGCTGCTTCCTCGCCTGCGTCTGTATCTGATTTCTCCTCCGCTTCATCTCATCCCATGTGCAGAAGTGGCATCGCCTACAAGCATCACCCTTCCAGCAGCCCAGCGCCGACCTCATGAGACCCCCCCTTTTCCTGAAAAACACAAAATGCACGCAGGCACCATATATCTAGTCATTATCTTCTCTTTTTTTGAGGGGGTAGGGGCAAATTTGTTTCAAGTAAAATGGTTGAGCCAACGGGTTGAACAGCTCACCTTGGCCACAACTTCATGGGGCACGGGAAGCAGTCCCCTCGTGGGTCTGAACAACATGTAGTTGCCCACACCCCTTTTTGGCTTTGCAACACATGTTGAAGCAAATGTCTTAGTTCTTCCGGTTCGTGAAACGATGCCGCTCAGCAACTTCGCATTGAAGTGGCATGGCAAGCACCTCCCTGTGCAGTGGAGCTCCCACATGATGAATCGTGGCAAGGGGACCTGCTCCGCCAGAGGAGGGCACGGCTCCGTCGGAGGACCCTGCCCCCAAACACGAACAGCCACCCGAGCGCCGTTCAGAGTCCGTCTGGAAAAACAGATAACATACTCCATTCGCTGTTGTTTTCGTGGTTGATCCAAACTTTCATCCAGTTGGGGCAGGGTCCAAGGCATCAACTGAACTTCCAGCGGACGGAGCAAACCTGGCTCAAGCGCTTCCGCCCTTGGAGCCAAAAGCTTATTTCAGACATGGCAAAAAGAAGCATGAACGCAAACAAAGCCGTGGCTGTGGAACAAAGACCCTTTCTGTGACTCCAAAGTCGTTGGTTTTCATGACCTCATCATTTCACAGGGGATTCCTTTGGTACAGTATCACAGAATCTGGCAAAACCCCATGTTCCACAACCGTGAACAAAGCCGTGGATGGTTCATAGGCAACTTCCTTTGATGCCTGCGGCTCCCGCAAAGACAGCCTTGCGCTCCTGCTGTTGCCAGTGGTTTACCCAGCAGCCCTGGAACCCCCCAAAACTCTCCCTGAAAGCTAAACCAGCCCAGAGTCTATCCGGGCAATTGGTGGCTTGAATTGGTAGCTTGGTGGTTCGGGGGTGGTTTCCCATTTACCAAAAACACAGATCCAATCCCCAAACCACCAATCCAAACCACCAATTGGGAGATCTTGGCAAAAAAAAACGGTTGATTCACTCGGGGAGTGAGCGACAACTTTTCAAGACATGGCACCAAAAGATCCGGAACTACTTCAGTTTTCTGCCACACACACACACGCACAAAATGCCTCGTAGTTAGATTCGGATCCATAGTTGGGCAAGATGTTTGACGGTCCTTTGGTGGACAGAATTCGGGGATTCATGTCCACCAAACACTCCGAGTTGCTGTTGAAATTCCAAGCCACACGAACGCTGAAATGCTGGCTGGTGCATCTCAAACTTTGAAAGGTTTGCTCGTAAGTCGGGTTTGCTCGGTAAAATACACCACCCCACACATCGTTTTGAAGTCCGGCCTGCAGGTTTCCTGACCGGAAACCTTGCGGGAGGACTCGAGCCGAGTCCAGGAAGATTCCCAAAAGCAAAATGAGGCGACTGTGGATGAACGAAAGCCTGCACCGAAAAAGCCCTGGATGAGTTCCCTCTAAATACCAAACTATGGTTTCCCATGGTAGTGGTGCAGGATTTCGTATTGAAACGCGCCCAGCGAGTGCTCCCGCTTAGATCTTGACCCGTATTTTGAATGATTGGGATGTCGACAAATCATTTTCTGAGTGGAATGGCCATCACGAACCCTCAAGCATCGTCCTGGATGATGTCATGTGGGCCTGTCCTTTTTCAGGGTACCCCTTTTGAGGTTGGTTTAAAGGGAAGCCAAACGGAAAACCAGTTCCCCTCCAACGAACGGCACACTCATGTTAGTTCGAACCCATCAGGTTCACCCCGCAAGGCCTTCGCCACAGAATCCCTCAGGGGAGTGCCCTCACGAAAACCGAATGCAGCTTGCCCCAAGAAGCTCAACCCGCTGACACCTTTTGGCCGGTTGAAAGGAAACATGAAGGAAACACAAAAAGGCAAAAGAATGGAAATGCCGAAAGGAAGCTCACCTTCAATTGGCCAAACAACAAATTATATTTCAACACCAGCTTTCCAAAACAAGCTGGAAAAAAGTGATTCTTAGCACCAGTCCAACAGAATGTGCCCAACCAAGTGATTTATTTTTCGCGCCAGCTTTCCGCAAAGGTTCCCAACAAGTGTAGCACCAGTCTTCCCTGGGCGATCCTGCGTCTACTTACCTGCGATGGCGCAGCAACTTACCTGTGGACAAAAATCCTTCCAGGGCCAAGGCAGGCCAGCCCCAGCCCCATGGGTTTGGATGTCCCCTGTCTCAACAAGGGCTTCAAAAATTTCAAACCAATCCAAACCACCCAGCAAGGCATACCTGAGTCCTTCAACTTCTCATAACTCTTGAACTTCCGCGCGGTAACATTCAAGCTAGACACTCCTTCAAAACGGCAATATGAAGCTGCACAGGCGTTTCCGGAAACCTCCCTACTAAATGCTGGTATTGAGTCCCTGCAAAATATGTTCTGATTGCGTCCTTCACAAGCCTTTCAAGAGGCAGTTTCATTCAGCAGCCCCAGAAAGGGGTCTCAACACAACACAAAAGCGCTTTCGTGAGACTAGAGACAACACATCGAAAAGGACTTGTCAAATCCACATCTGGGAATCCATTTTTGGCTTGTTCCGTCCCTACCCAGCCAGTATCACACACTCTGTCCGGAGCCTTTGGCCCCCCGCTTTCGTTTGTTTTGTATATCGCGGAAGCCCGATGCGCTCGCTGAGCCAAATGCTGCCACAAAGGCGCCAGCCCGTGGACGAGTCGTTGAGTCGTTTCCAGCCAGCGGCTTGGGAGTCGTGCTCGTTTTCGGCGACTTGGCTGTGGGTCAAAACCAATGGTACCATTTTGGGGTAGGTGCACCGCGATCCGTGAACAAAAGAGTGGATCCCCTAGAACAGCGAGGTCTCCCATACCTCCTGAAGCTCCCATGTCCTCACCCCAAAAAATTGGATCATGCGCATGATAGCGCGTGCGTAGAAAGCCTGGCTAAGATGTGGGCGTGTCCTTTTTAGGGGACCCCCTTAACATGATGGTCTTCATTGTTTCGCTCAAAACCCAAGAAGGGGGGGTTCCCTCAAAAGCAAAGACACGTCCCGCTGTTTACTTCCGTAGTCGGGGGTTTCCCCGGGTTTGACCTCGAAAACGAGCGGGTTCTTCGGGGACGAACGGCACTGAGTCTGAGTTGAAGTAATAGCTGACCCAAACCCCGAGTCAAAACGTAACTTTCAAAGCCAGTCTTCCCCATCTCGCCAAAAAAAAAAAAACATTCGACGGGTAGAAAGTGGAGACCCAAGACCAACAAGTTTGTCGCCTACCCTCGTTTTCAAGGCTAGGGACTATATTTACATGTTCCAGTGTTCATCAGCCAATCCGAACCACGGATCGGTCCATGACTGTCCGATGAACTCCAACAAAAATTAGGTCAGTCCAGTCCGCGCACTGTCGTATCTGCTTAATGGTCTCCGTTTTGGAGTTGTTGAAAGCGGAGCAAAGGGACAACCGCCAATTTTTAGGACCCTAAGTTGAGACAGACCCCCGTTTCTGTTACCATCAAAATCACTGTCCACGGGAAAGGCAGAAGGGCAAACCCGCCTTGACAGAACAACTGGATTTGGCCCAGCTTGTGTGGAACGCCGCAAGCTTCCGAACCCAAACTGCAGGGAGCGGGTCGCACCTGTCTCTGCCGCAATGGCTCTTGCCAGCATCGACTTGCCACCTGAGCCACTGATACGAAACAGAAAGGGACGTTGTGGAGGCCTGCGTTTTGCACATCCTATAATTTGTGTGTTTTCCAATCATTTATTTTCAGAAGCAAATGGTTTCCACACCGTTTCTCCCGAAAATTCAGTACACCACGGCTGGGCATGGTGGATTCCGGAAATAAGGTCAGAATGCGCATTACATCTTCTAAAGTCGACTTGTAGAAGGTGAGCTTCAAGGGGGGGGGAAACAAATATGTTTTCAAGAATCTGTTTTTTTGGCGCCTGCGGCTGTTGTTCCCCAACCGGTCCTTGGTTCATATTTGCAAAGTTCTGGGATGTCCTATTACTTACACAACTTCCTTGAAGATTCATTTGTTCTCTTGCTTAAACCTGACCTTGTATGATAGGTCAACATATTTATGCATTGAGACTTGCATCTTCACAAATCGTACGCTTAGTTAGTGTTTGCTGCCTTGAGCATTTGCATGAGTAGCACCGTATGACAAGCCTGTGGTGCCACTGATGATGCAAGATTGGAAACGGTACCCACATTGATTGCCGATATGCTTCCACCATTCATGAGCCAGCACGTGTGGCAACAATGGGCTTGGTTGCACTGGCTCTGTGGTGCCAGAAAAGCACATTCTATGCGCTTTGTTTGTGGGCCGATTTGCGTGTAGTATTCTCGCGGCTTGCCTTGTGCATCACGCCCTCTATGGTAACTCAATAAATAGGGTAGAACAGGAAAGAACATGTTTGCGTAAGTGGCTTTGACATACAACTAAATTTGTCATAGGTTAGGCCAGTGTGCAGCAATGTCATCAAGCTGCCAGCTTGCTATTGGCTAACATGGAGAGTTTGGCACACCAGAAATGGAGTGAAAGATGTGCATTTTTCATCAAACAATGTTTTCATGTAGCGCAGGCATTTCTCTGCTCCATTGCTTGTTAAGCTTGTTTGGGGTTGGCCATAAGAGATCTTCTTTTGATGACCTATGGAGGGTGCAAATAGAAATCATTTTTTACCCCCCCCCCCCCCCCCTGCCATGTTTTTGTGTGAGCCTACCATGGTCTTTGTACTTCGTGAGGGGGTGAGGCAGGCCCACTCCAAGTGGGCAGCTGCCCGTTGGAGTATTCTCAGAGGACAGTAGGACAGTGAAAGCCCTCTAGCTCCCATGCAATCTTGTTGCGCGCAACAGTTTTTCTAGCAGTCAAATTTGCACCCTCCTTGGGGCAGTCGTTTTGTGAGCGGCAGGTTTTTCCCTTTGGGCGCAGTGCAGCAAGTAGCATCAAGAAGCAACTATGAAATGCAGGGTGACTTGTCAGATCCTTGCTGCTGGAAGCAGCATCTCGGGTTTCCACTTTGCGTGACTGTAGCTCACAGGGGGTTGGTGGGATGAAGTCATGAGGGTCCTTCCCGTACTTCCTTGTAAATGACAAGCACTTGCCATAGGCTGCCAAAGATTGAACTTTGCCATTGGCCATGCAGAGCTAGTAGCCCAGTTCTTCCCCAAAGATTCCGGGTCCTATGACCACTAGAGCGGGGCAATGTGAGGAGGCAGACCTGCAAGTGTGGGCAGCATTGCTTTCTGCATGATCAGGCATGGGTCCTCTGGCTCCTATGCAAACTGGTGGCATGCAATGGCTGATGTGGCTGGAGACAAAAGATCTCCTACTTGCACCCTGCATAATTCACCGGCACAATTTCTGCTAAGTAGATCTCTTGTGCTCAGCCCAAGAAAGCCTCACACCTTATGTTCATAGAACAACCATGGAACACTCACATGCACTGCACTACATGAAACAAAAAAAACGGGCTTGTTTTGTTTTTCCCCATGAGAACAACAGACACACATTTTACCGAAAACGCGGGCCTCCACGGCGTCCGCCACACTCTTACAAGAATATCAGGTGATGAACAAGGTGATAGTTTCTTCCAGTCCCCTGGACTGAGCACATCGTGTGTCCAAGTCCGCTGGACCATTCCCCACCGCTTTAGACCACCCCAAGACCTACAGACTTACTCACAGGTTGGGATGGACAGAACCTTACCGGCATAAACCATGGCTTGGTTCAGAGTCTCCGTTAAGAGGACCTCCGGTTGGGTTTCATGTTGATTCGGGGAGGAGCTTGCCTTCTTGAACTTTTGCGTTTGGAACCGCCTCTTTGCAGTTCCCATTTTCCGGTAGCGAGGATTCTGGGCAAATATCAGTTGGCCAGCTCAAAGCCTGCGTGGCGTTCCCAGAAGCGCGCGGGGTGGTTTTTGTCAGGTTGAGCTATGGTTCTGTGACTTTGAGTGTGGGTGATGCTTCATTTGGGGGGCATGGTGCTGAATAAAACCGAATGCTTCAAAGCTTCAAGGGGCACATAAAGAACCTGGCTGGCATGGGGGGGCCATGGTGCCATGTGCTTTTGTGAAGGAAACCACTGGGCAAGCAAGGCTCTACAAAAAGAACGAGGGCATGCGGCATATCTGGCCATGGCTCAAAATCCAAATCGTACCCCCAGTGAACATCCCAATCCCCGCCAAAACAGGTTCTAAAATGGGTGGCGAATTCATCTACCCCAAAAATGGTCCCGTTGGTTTTAACAACCACAGCCATCTGATGGCAGTTTAATGAGCAGGGGGTCTTTTGCCACCTTTTGTGGAACATAGCTCGATGTCCTTGTAGTGAAGGATTCCTTTTTTTGGTGGGTCGCCAATTTTCTCACCAAAGGTGGCAAAAAGACCCCACTTCCGAGACCCCCGGCTGCCCTTGGGGCCATAGAGCAGCAACGACCTGCGAGTTTTTAAGAGGCAGGCGCGCGGCTCAAGCTGCTTGCCCCAGCTTCAAAATCATAGGCTCTGTCTCCAAAATAGGTTAACCTACAAGGGAAACCCCAAAGAAAACCAAGCATAGTCAGGTGCCCCGATGAAAATAGATGGCACGATTACTCTCGCCCTCTTGCGTTGAAAAATATGTCGAAGATGCTGTTCACTGTCTAAACACTTCCCCTCCCATGTCTCCTGTTCTGAGATCTATTCAAGTTTGTTAGACTTTATATGGAACAGAGTCAGCAAATATTGCTCTCTGTGTATGGCCAAGTATGGTGAACGTAAGAAAGAAGCAAATGTGTCCATCTCTACCATGTTCTTCCAGAACTCCAGGCAGCTCCTTAGCTCCCTCTTTCAAGGCCTTTTTTTTGCTGCACCAGCCCCGGAGCGGCTCCCTTATCGTCAGCCAGATCTTTGGGAGCAGCGCTCACGTGGCCCGCCTCGCCGTGAGGCCCTTGGGCGCCTTTTGCCGGATGTCGGTCTGCGCCTTGGAGCCCACAGGACTCGACTCACGGCGAGGCTTGGCGCCCCTGCTTTGGTTTAAAGGGAAACCACAAGGACCCGCCATTCAGGGGGTGCGAAATTTTAAAAAAAATGGCGCAATTTTGGGGAGTCAAGGACATGAGCCTCATACCCTACATTCCCCGGTGCCTTTGTTTCCTTGGCACAACCCTGTTCGCTTCTGCATCTGCAGCTTCGGGCAATTTACAATGGGGCGGGAGCCACCTTTCAGAGATTAGAGACTTCGATCTTCCAGCAAGAAGCTTGAGCACTCCAAGCCAGCCAAAACATCACTTTACAAAAAAGGAGGCGCCCGCCAAAATATCTTCAGCTGCAATGTTCCAAACTCGGCTCCCAACACTCAAGGGTGCTCTGGTTTCAGCCTGGTTCTGAAAATTGTTGGAACGGGTGCGGGTCTTGAAGCAAACATGCGCAACCCGGCGGCCGCTTCTCGCACTTAAGGCCGCCGCCAAAGGAAGCGCGCAATGCTCCACCAGCAACGACCTCACGTATCCGCGCTAAGCCCAGGGCACCCAGAAATAAGCCCAGCACACCCAGAAATAAGCCCAGGGCACCCAGAGATAAGCCCAGGATATAAGCCCAGGGCACCCAGAAATAAGCCCAACACACCCAGAAGTAAGCGCAGGGCACCCAGAAATAAGCCCAAGGCACCCAAGAAATAAGCCCAGGGCACTCAGAAATAAGCCCAGGGCATC